GCGCGGGAGAAGCGGTCCTCGATGCGCTCGATGCCCTGCTTGGCCGAGCGGATCCGCAAGAGGCCCGTCTGCAGCGTCTTGTTCATCCTCTCGAAAGCGGCAATCTCGCCGTCGGAGTTGGATCGTTCTGCCTCCTTGACGCGCTCGCTCTTGACCACGGGGGGAACGTCAGACTCTGAGTCAAAGTCGAAGTCGAGGTCCAGATCGAGGTCCAGATCGGTGCCCTTGGAACGAGCAGCGGAGCCGCTTTCCGAGACGGCGAGCTTGGCCATCTTTCTTGCGTTGGCCAGCATCTCGTCCAGGTCGTCATATGTCGAGTCGTCAATGTTGTACTCGCGGCGCAGCTCCATCAGGTCGTCCTTGACCGAGGGAGGCCTGGCCGAGTTCTTCAAGGGTGGCCGGGGTCGGGGCAGCGACTTGGCCCGCGGCTTCTTGACTGCTGCCAGCGCCGACGCGCCAATGTCGCCGCCGTCGTCCGTCGTGCCGGGGTCGGAGAGGGTATCCTGGTCTTGGTTCCTCTGTTTGGTCCTCCACGAGGAGAAGCTGGGCTTCCTGTCACGGAAGAGCAGCGCCGACTTTGACTCGACTGGCTTGGTTTCGACCTGCTTGGGGGCGTCTTCTTCAGTCTTGGGCTCCGGCTTCAGCACCAGCTTTTCTGTCTTGACCGACACGGGCGTCTCGACGTAGGCGCCGGTGACCTTGGGCGTCCCCATGGTCAACGGGTCGGGCTTGGAGGGCTTTGGTGTTGCATCCGACGATGGCTGCTTGCTGAGAGCCTGGTCGTCCAGGTCCGAGTCGTCAAGAGGCGGAGACGGCGCGCGCAGAGAGCCGCGTTCGGAGTGGTTGTCGGACGGCGCAAACAGCTTCATCTCGGCCTCGATCCTGGCCGTGGGGTCTGGCTCCGACTGCATGCTGGACCGCTTGCTCTTAGTTGAATCGACGGATCGCGTGCGCTGCAGGCCAGTGAATGCCACGCTGGGCTTTGCTTTTTCGGGCTCCTTGGCGTCGGGAGCGGTGCCGGTATTCGCGAGGGTGTTCCAGGCAGTGGTCGTACTTGTAGAGGTGTTCCAGGTGGTCGGGGCAGGACTTGTAGCAGTGTTCCAGGTGGTTGGGGCAGGCTTCTCGCCGGTGGAGGCGCGTCGCGGAAACAGGCGAGACGCGATTCGGTCGGCAATGGACTTGGTGGTGGATTCCTTGTTTTCCTTTTCCTCATCGCCTGGCGGAGGCGTGGGCAGCTGGTTCGACCGCGGCTCGTCCTCGAATGGCGGGCTGGAGCTGGCGGCCCTTGCCAGCCGGCGCAGCAGCTCTCGCTCGTCGGGCCGCCGCTCCAACGGCCGCCGGTTGCCCAGCAGAGCCTCAATCTGCTGCTCGGCGCTATCGAGCCTCTTTTCCAGCTCCTGGGTCCGCGACGATGCGGCTGCCGCTGCCGCATTGCTTTCCTTCTTCTCCTGTTCGCCTGCGTGCTTTGGGCCCGGATTGTAGTCTGTCATCGGTGTATCTTCAACCTGCCGGCCAAAGTCTGTCATCGGTGTGTCTGTGACCTGCCGGCCAAACTGGCCGCCGCCAAAGGACGTTCTTGAACGCAGCAGCGGCGGCGCTTCCTCCTTCTTCACCTCCTCGGCCACCTCGGTCTTTGCCAGCCGTCGCCGCGCCAGCCCAAAGGTTGGTCGACGGTTGGACTCATCGTCCGGCGAGCGGGGGCGCGCCATGGAGTTTTGCTCTTTAATCTCTTGTAGGCGAACAGCCGCGTACGCCCGCTTCGACATGCCGTCGGCCTCGCGCTGTTTGATGTCGTCAATCTTGGTGTTGTTTCTCGGCCCGTCCAGGTGTCTGCTGGCGAGCGGGATCTGGCGCTCCACCTGCGCTTCTCTCTTGAGGATCTCGTCTAGCTTTGTATTCTGCGGCTTCGGTCGACCGGCGCCTGCGAGGGGAATGTGGCTGCCGTTTGCGCGGAGCTCGAGCGATCGAATCTCGTCCAGCTTGCTGTTGCGAGAGCCGGGGGCGGTGATTCGAGGCAGCTTGTCAAAGTCCTGCTTGGCGTCGGGGGTGAATCCTAGGCGGCTGGCAAACGGCCGAGTCCCGACTCTAACGCGCGGACTGTCGGAGATTTGCAAGTCGCTTCCAGTAAAATCCTCGTCCATCTGCCAGACGAAGCTCTTGCCAGGAGAGGGCGACGATGGCTGGACGAGCGTTGCTGCGGACAGGGCAGGCTCGACGGACGGCAGCGGGATGTCCTCGATGCCCGGGACGAGCGACGGAAGGCCGCTGGAGGCGGTGGTGGCGGTAGTAGCGGTGCCCTCCCTGTTCCCCCCCGTGTGAGCGTGACCGGCACCGGCACGCAAGGGGAGGCCGCTGCTGCCCCTGGCTGGCGATATGGCGCCTTCCCTGCCGCTGACGAGCGTCGCGCTGAGGTTGGAGTTGCGCGCCGAGGGAATCTTGCTGCGGGCCTTTGTGTCGAGATGGTCGGCGCCGAGCTCGCGCTGCAGCTGCGACACCTCCAAGGCGGTGCGCGTCCTCCAGGGCCGCGGAGCCGGACTGGGGGAGCCGTCGACGGCGACGGGGTCGTCCATGCCGGCCTCGAGCATCATCTTGGCCGCCTCCTCCTCGCCCTCGGCCAGCTCCATGGCCTTGCGCAGGGAGATTGGCTTGCGGCGCGACTGCGACAGGCTGTTGAGTCGGGGGATCTTGGTGCCGCCGGACGAGAGCACGCTGGCGTTGGCATTGG